CTCATTCATATTGCACTGTTCTTCTTGATGACGGGTTTATTCTTTCTGATGATATAGAGTGCTATTATATCTACCTTCGTACGTAACTGTTTTAAATTGTTTGTTTCCTATGTTCCTCTCATTTTGCACTTCTCCAAGCAAGAATTTGTGTTGAACTCTCAGCAACTTAAGTTTTTTTGTGCATTATAAGTGCATTTTTTTAGATATCCTTGCGTGATTGTATAAATCTTTTTGATTCTCACAGGTCTTGTGGATATCTGATAATGGAATCCCTGACTTAGGAGGCATAAATGATGAAGTATCATCTTTTATGGATGAGGTCAACTTTAACATATCAACTTCTTACAATAATATCTGCTTTCTTTGTTTCTCTTACTGATTATTCAAGAGAATTTTTAGCCTTCTGATGTTTTTCTTGACCACGTTTTTATGCTATCTTGTGCTTTATGAAAGCAGGTCAATCAACCAGTTCTTACTTATCCTGGTGCATATAGAAAAGTTACTGTTGAGCTGAAGGTTTAAATTTCCATCAATTTTCTGAGTTACTTCTTTCCTTTGTCTGGTAAATTTTTTTCCAATACACAGATAATACTATTACACTGTTGCTAAAAGATTCTTCTTATTTCTGATATTGTTATCAGATTCATCATCTGGCTGTTGATGCTCTACTGAAAAGCAACCAAGTAAACGAAATGGAAGGAGGCACTCTGTTTGGATTGGACCAGGACTTGAACCCTACGACGAATTTTACTAATGAACAGTACTTCTTTGATGCAACAACATCCTGTGCACCAGCATTTCGTGTACTTAAGCAGTTGATTCAAAGGTGCCTTACAGATGCAGTAACATCAGGAAACATATTTGCTGATGCAATGCTGCAACATTTGTACCGATGGCTCTGCAGGTTGGCTTGCTTCTTTCAGTTTTGTTCACAATTATATTTGATTGCTAATGCTACATTGTCCTTCTAACTATTGCAGCCCCCGATCTAGACTGCATGACCCAGCGCTTCACAGTATGCTTCACAAGGTAATTTATTGAATAAGAAACTTCTGGGTTGTCTAAAAAGAACATAAAGAGTTCTATTTGGAAGTCGAGATGCATGACGTGCCTTCGTGCTATTAGTACTGGGACATTGATATCATTTATTTTCTCTGGAATGTGTCTCAGCATGCTACTTCATTCACGCGTGGTTTCTCCATTTCTTCTTGCATTCATCAAAACTGATGCTTTAATATTTTCATAATTGGCAGGTTATGCAAAAGATGTTTGCATTGCTTGTGGCTGAACTCCGAAAATTGGGTGCTGCTATTGTGTTTGCCAACTTCTCAAAAATCATAATTGACACTGGGAAGTCAGATATTTTTGCTGCCAAAGCCTACTGTGATAATGTTATTAAAAATGTACAATCAAGGTCAGTCTCTTGAATCAGAAGTTGTTTACTCAACATATATATATATATATATTTTTATTTTTTATTTTTTTTGGTCTTTCTTCCCTTACTCTTATCTATCTGCAGAGAATTGTTTGAGTGGATTGAACTTGAGCCGTTGCAGTTTTGGCACTCGTTGCTTTTCATGGATCAGGTTAGCTGTGGCAGTTGACTTGATTTGTTCTTGTTATTAACATTTTAGCTTTGTGTTCTGTCTTTTCCTTCATTTCTCCAAGAAACAAATTTATGCATTTAAAATCACAAAAAGATCCTTTTGTTGTATTTAAGTCAATGCTAATACATGCATTGAGAATTTTAGATAGGAGCTGATCAGTTTGAGTCTCTAGCTGTATCCTAATGGTTCACATTTTCTTCGAATCATTAATTTACTTGAATCCCTGTTTTGAGTTCACGGTGATGACTATGTTGCCCACTAGAAATCTTGGCAGTATTTTCATGCTATCAATGCCCTAGCCAGCTTTCTTTGTTCTGGGAAATGATTTGTATTACCTTTTCAACCCAAATGATTTTTAGATATGATAATCTAACTGAAATTGCAACGCATCAAATCAGTAGGTAAAATCCATTTGTAAATAGGATAGAAAAAAATGGATGCTGCTTGCTTCATGGGGTAGTCCATTATTCTGGGTAAAGAGTTCGTAAGCTAACTTTCGTTTGATGGTTCTGACAACAGATATGTTCTTTCTATCCTCATTTATTAAAGTTCCGTCTTACAATTTTCCTTTTATGATAGTACAATTATGGTGGAATTCGAGCTAGACATAGTGATGAACCTTTAGAAGTTAACTCAGAACCAGGTGAAGAAAGTGTGTGTGGTGAATCTCAAATCGATATCGTGTCAAGCTGGAACATTGCAGAAAATTTACCGAAGGCAACTCAGGTATTTCCCCAGCTAGAAACTGTACAGGAACATTGCTTTTATTATATGAATGAAGGTGCAACAAGATACAAGTGGACACCCCGATCTTGAAATACCAGTTAACTAGTTTGCACCATATTGCAACAGAACACAGTTGATCCTCGGTCTCCTTGATAAAATATTCTGCCTTATTATTCTATGCTGGTCTTTCATGTAGGATCGCTTCATTTTGATTGTTTCGGAGTTTATGTATGGTCCATGGAAATATGCACAAGAACAAGCTACACATCGAGTATCTACTAGCGATGGTGATTTATGTACACCATCAATCACTGCTGCACTTGCTGAAACATTTGATTTGCAAATGGCAGAAGATCTAAAGAAGAAGGTATCTGCTAGGACTCATTCATAGGCATCCCTTGTCTTCGTCAATTTTGTGCTGAGTTCTTTAATGCGTGAGAACTTAACTTTAGAAAATTCTGCCTGCAGATTGGAACTTACTTCACTGACAAACTTCTGAAAATTGTTTGTGACCCTAATCTTCAAATGAAAGTGATGAACAACTCTCAGAAGATCCAGGAGACACCAGATGCAAACTCACAATCTATTAGCCATGTCCAAAAGGGGGATCCAGCTTTAGAGTTCATTAAACATGTCTGTGCAGTTTTGGCCCTTGACCAGAATGTGCAGCATGAAGTTCTGGTATTAAATGTTTTTCTAGCTTCCCTTACTAATGAACAAAATATGTATTAGTAAAACCTATTGACATCGTTTTTTCCGTCCGGCACTGAAAGTGTAGTCTAGCGTACAGAGGGACCCCGGTTGCTGTATAGTAACCACACGTACATCGATTGCTTAGTCTTATGTCTCCCATCCAATAAGTCTCATGAAGGCTCTGCATAACACATAATGCTAAATTATTTAATGATACCTATTGAAATGTGGTGTTTTAAAGTAGCGTGTGACAGTATATATGTTGGATTTCACTAGTATTGATTCTTCTGCAACAATAACATTTAATTGCAGCTCGCCATTAATTAGTTTTATTGGTTCTTATTATGCAGATCATGAGGAAAAATTTATTAAAACTTGTTCGTGTGAGGGAATTTGCTCCGGAGGCAGAATTTCGTAGTCTTTCTGTATCATATACCCTTCCAAATGTCATTTGCAGGTAAATGTAGGGGAAATAGGAGTTACTTTCACCTGAAACATGAGCAGGTGGGAGTATCTGCCACTGCTGGGTTTTGTCTTCTGTAGAATATCCAGGATATTAGTTGCTTTCTAATTTCCATGATCTGTTGCTTTCAGTTACTGCAATGACTGCAGAGACCTTGACTTGTGTCGAGACAGAGCTTTGATTTCTCAGGAGTGGCGTTGTACTGTGCCCCAGTGTGGGCAACCTTATGATCGTGAAGCAATGGAAAATGCTCTTGTTCAAATTGTTCGGCAGAGAGAGAGGCTATACCATCTTCAGGATCTAGTATGCCTAAAATGCCACCAGATTAAAGCTGCACATTTATCAGATCACTGTGCTTGTGCCGGATCATTTAGCTGCAAGGAAGATGTCTCAGATTTCCGCAATAAAATGCAAGTCTTCTTGAACATAGCCGTAAATCAAAAGTTTCAATTGCTCCAAGAATGCACTTCTTGGATTTTGGAAGCCAGATAACTACATAAGTGCACCTCATTATCAGTGACAAATCGTTTGAGCACTTAACATTTGCTGGCTGCTCTGCATGGTGCAAGGCTGCCTCATGGCGTCCAAAACAAGATTTACTTTTTATTGATACACAATTACGTCCAGGTATTTGAGGAGTCCATGAAATGAGAGCTGATCTGTTTTAGAAATTCAGCTGTCTGCATGGGCTTACGTAAAAGTTCCCTCGAGGAGTGCCAGTTATCTATACAGCTGCACCCTTTCTTCGGAGAGGAAAAAAAAGGATTCGTATTGCATCCGCTATACCCATCCTTAGTTCCAGATTTGCTGGTTTGGTGGAGAACTGATTGCTATATACAGAGAGCACGCAGATAATTACTAATATGTGGCCACCAATTCAACATCTTAACAAGATTTTCTGTATCATGCACTAGAAATGATCGTCTATTTTTTTAATTTATGCTACAAGAGTTGAGCTGTATGATGTACATATTGCAATAACAGTGAAATGTACATAGTCATCTTTCTTTTATACTTTGATTAGTAAACGACGATGAAGTTAACTGTATCAAACCTTGTTGGTTGTTAAAATTAGGTGTAAGTTGCGTAGTTTCAGAATCAAACCAAACAATTGGTGAGATTTCGATACTCATGTGGCTCTAATCTATATTTAGTTTATGGAACGACTCACTAATCTATATCTTCATGCACTACTGGGCTCTAGACCTCTAGTTTGAACCCTGTCTCATACAAGATTACAGTACAGTGGACTGATTATCTTGTCACAATTTTGATTTGTATCTGTTGTGACATTGTTACATCACAATATATTACTTGGAATTGATTCGTTATCGTTCCACTGCATCTGTGAAATTCTGTAAGCTTTCATGTCTGAAAAGATCGTACTCTTGACTTATTGTTGCTGTGTTTCTGTAAGACGATAATGTCATTCATTTAACAAAACTGGAAGAATGAAAACCATCAAACGAGGAAAAGAGGACACTGATGTTTTGTGGTACTAGAAATGCAACTCTGCTAAGAACAACTTCTAACATATAACATGAATTCACGTGAATCCAAATATTTTTGCACAGAACATGTGCATATCAAGAAATTCATTGAATATCTATATTTATCTTTAACTGTGAACCCAAATATTATTGTATACTAACATGAGGTTGCTGTAGGAACCCTAAATCTTCAAATCCTGGATTCACCTGTGTAAAACGAAACAACAATGGCGATAAAAGAGTACAAAAACAACAATTTGTTGGATGGTGAGAGAGGAGTAACTATTGTTTTCACCAGAAGGACCATTTTTTCTTGGCAGATATATTTTCAGCTGGCTCATCCTTCTTTCTGTTCTCCATTCCCCCCTTCAGAGCCTCCAGCCTCCTCCTGCATGAGGATTAAATTCAAACAAAATCTTCGACACTAGGAAGTAGGATATGCATAGTTATCAATAGAAGGACTGTTTGCATATATAGCTTCGTTGTCAACAATGGTCTATCATATATTTCTCTCCTAAAATTTCTCTTTTAATTAAATAATAATAAAAAAGACATGCCATTGATTTAAGAACAGTGGACACCATAAACCTCAAGAACTGGAATGCAAATACTCAAGCTTTGATTTTGTTCAACAACCTAGGTTCAAGTTTAAGATAGATTCATCTCTTACAAACCAAATTCAGCTTATGCATATTATATTGTTAATCAAAGGTATAGCTGCACCTTCAATTGGCAAAATAAGATACACTACCATGGTTTAAGGAATACTACGATCCTCAAAATAATCCATCGCATATAGGATTCTCACTGGAAAATTGAGATAGAATGTCTAACCATTTGACATGACTGATTGTACCACATGCAAAGTACACAAACAGATGATCCACTAAATTGAAAGCATACTACTGCCAAATTTATGGTTCTGCACCATTATAGTTATATAGCACAAGTAATGGCATGCTTAGAGTTACTTTAAGAAAATAGAACAGTATTTACAGATTCACATTATCTAAATAAATATTATGCTAGAACCAAGAGTACCATAACAAAGGTAGGGCCCAGGAAAATAACAGAAGAATCAGTTATCATACTTGATATCAGTTACGCGACCATGTAGACTCCATCGTTGCCGAAAACCTTCCATACCTTCAACTCCGCTAGCCAAAATTAAGTGCCTAGAACAAAAGGAAGATATTTAGAGAACATACTTATTGTATATTACTACATAGATGCTGTAAACAGAGAAGGGGCAGCAGCGGGGTAGAGGAATTGGTCGACTCATCAGGCATTAGAAATTTCTTTTGCTGAACGTGGGATTACCAACTTCCTTTAAGGTCAAATGATACCATCAAATATGTCAAATCTGACAAAAATGTTAAATAGGAGCAGTTATGTATCCACGGATGAGAGTTCCAATATTGTATGCTTTTTTTGGCTACACTACCCTCCCCAGTCCCCACTTGTGGGATTACACTGGGTAGTGTGTACGCAAACCTTACCCTTACCTTGACAGGTAGAGAGGCCGTTTCAAACACAATGAATAAGTAAAGTGGGTTATTTTTGTTTCACTAGAAAGCAACTACTACAAATAACTGCACACGTGATGATGGCAGTTTCATGCATATGAGCTGCATCGATGCTCAGAGATAGCCTGTAAGTTTCAGCTGACTAAATACTTAATGAGTCATTGTCAAGGAAAAGACAGAATCAGTAATATCATTACTAATTTTTACTCTAACAAACCTCTCCAGTGATGTGACTTCTGATTCTAGTTGAGTGGCTCTTTCCTTTGCTTGATCAAGAGGCATTGACATCCCTAATTTCTGTTCACTATCTTGAAGGCGTTGCCTGAGCTCCTTATCCTACAGATGACAACTTCAGATTAACAACAGCTATGCTTCAATCCCAAGGAAATCGAAGTCAGCTATATGAATACTCACTGAGCATGTTCCCATTTTAAATTCATCTAAAGCAAACATTATATAAAAGAAAAAAAAGATGTAATAGAAATTTTCTATATTTCCTACTAGCATAAGAATCTCTAAACAACATAAATTTATTTCTTCAAGCAACCAAAATCTCATTTAAAATACATGAAAATCAACTTTATATGAGCAAACATGTTAAAAGATTAACTCCTTTGTTATCATTCTCACCCTTCTCTCTGCACATTGCCGATATAAAGCAATCTCATCCTGACAGAATGGCTCGATATCATTGATTTGTAAGCCTAAATCAGAAAAACCTTGACTTGATGAGTATTTTAAACCACATGAGTCAGAGAAGGATCATCGAGGAAAAGAAGACATACAGAGGAACAGATTCCTCAAGATTCCGTCACAGAGATCAACACCTTCAAGTACATGAGACGCTATCTCAGGTGGAATGACTGGTGATGGAGGGCCCATCATCAGATCATCACCCACCAGGATGGTTTCCTCCATAGTCTGCTGTGAATCAACTAAAAGACAACACAACAAAATATCAAGCATAAGTCAAACTGTTGAATCCTTTGCACTGCCTCTTTCACAATATAATTAACCAAATGCAAAAGTGCAAGTAAAGTTGAGTCTCAGAAGCTGAGGCTGAAGTCTCTAAAAAGGTCCTTTTATATGTCTGTTCTTTTCTTTCGTTCAAACGGTATTTTCAAAGGCAAAAAAAGAAAAAAATGCTAAGATTTTAAAACTATATGTAATGCAAAAAAAATAATATATGGACAAAGAAATTAACATATTTGTAATTAAGTGAAATGTGAAGTAAAAATAGTGCCAATTAAATTCAAACACCATTTTAAATTATGAACCCAACTACAAAGACAAAATCTTACTTCTAATTAACACTAGTATGTAGTTTTGTAATTTTGTTATTATAAATCTCTAATTTCCTATAGCTCAGACCCTAATCCCAGTACCTTCATACATACTAAATCATTAACAATTATTTTTTTATTTTTCACGTTATAGTTATCTTTAGTGCTTCCCTCTTTAAAACATAGCCCCTTGCATTGAGGCGCATGCTTAATGCCTTGGTTCTTGAACCAAAGCTTAGTTGAGGTCAAGCACCAACTTATGTTGTGTAGATCTGTATGATCATCTCATACCATGTAGAGGTGCATACCGTGAAGAAGTGTGTGGCCATCTCTATCTAAAAGCTTAGAGCCATTGTTAGAGAGAATATAACTTTTAATTACTTAATTATATTATATCTCAACGTGTTGCACCAAACTCCAGGGCTTAAGCCTGCCTGAAGTGTGTTATTAAATACATTGCTTTTAAGCAAGCAATTACTTTGTATAAATTCATGTTAGTACAAATGACGTGCACAATATTACACAACCGAATGCAAGAATGAGTTTCCATAATACCATTTCAGCCAATATTTCTTAACACATGAATAATCTGCCTATGACAATTGACACAAGAAAACCATGGTAACATTTCTAATTTACTGAATAATATACATTCTTTCGGCTCAAGAAAATCAAAATGAAAGCTTGAGGAAAGGGGAAAATTAAAAAAAATTTGTTGAAGAGAGAAATAATATGGAAAGAGTTTTGAGTTACCATCCATGGTGTCCTCCTTTTGCTATGACCCAGCAGATGTTCAATTCTACGCACCAAAGAAGTGATTTTTCACAGACCCTCAATGAGTTTCTCCAAGATCCCAAGTCAATACAGATGCACAGGGTACTTTGGTACGTGGACGACTGTATTTCTTGTGTTTGGCGAAAAAAAAAGGTTTTGCAACAGAATGCTGCACTTTGCTACAAAACAAACCAAAAGAAAGTTATGAGAGTAGAAGAGGAAGATCTTTTATTTTTCCATCGTGCAAGTATAATCTCCTATTTGGTACCATTATCTGCAAATTCGAACAAACTTCAATTCCCACAGCTCATTCTCATCCAAACAAAAATTATAGCATTCTAAATTTATAGAGTTAAGGAACCAGCAAGCAACAAAGAGATTAATCACTGAAGCACAATCCAAATCAATCAAAACATTATCATACAGATAAGCAACTGAAATGAAAAACATTTCACACCATTTTCAAACTTTAGATAACTCCCACACAGATGTCAACAACATCATATCCAATGCAATCCCATAAGTTGGTTCTTGGGTACACATACCTTACCTCTACCTTTCGTGCTCAAACTCTTAAAAAATGTCAATGGGTCCGTGTCGAATTCTCCAAAAGTAGTGTATTTTTGGAGAATCCAACATGGGTGAGACATCCAAAGTGAAGGGGGTAAAGAGGTTGTTTTCGATAAAGATGTCCATAAGTAATTTATTCAGTGAAGCATATTGTCAAACACTATGTGGGCATCAAGTCATCCTAAGCATTGTGCATTCAAGAAGCTAAACTACCACCCCAATACATGGAATTTAGTGTTAACAAGCTCTGTCAATACACTTCTAAGCTATAAAAATTCTGCATTCAGTTCAAGATTCATTACTCTATCATATCTAAGTACTTCATTAAGCAAGAAACTCAAAAGGGTGAGAAGAGAAAAAATAAATTACCAGATTTCGGAATCGAAAGAAAAATGCCAAAAAAAAAAACACGAAACCAAATTGATGAAAATATAGGGAATATGCTAAACCCCGAGTTTGGTATGAGGGATAAGAGATAATTAATATCATGAATAATTTTAGAATGAGATTTATTTCATGTTTTATTCCGTGTTTAATTACCTTGAACTATAATGTTATTTTTATTCTATATTGAGGGGAGATAATAATTCGGAAATAACTAATTCTGGATTATTTATTTCCTTACTAAAGAAGTCAAAGTTTGTGTTAAAATATTTTTAAAAAGTTTTTTTCTTAAAAATAAGAAATAAAAAACTGATATATGTTATATAGATAACAATATTAATAAATTATTAGGTACTTAAAATTAATTTTGAAAAGAAGAACATTTTTTTTTTTTGATGACAAGGGAAACCCGCCGTCGCTATCATTTGGTTGCGCACATGGTAAAATTCCCGCTTCTATGCAATAGCTCGCAAACCACATATAAGAGATAACCCGCACTAGACAAGCCCGGTGCAACGAGCTCGACCAGAAGGCAAACCCCTTGCTTTCGCTGGCAAGGGATTTCGAACTTGAAGTTCCAAGCCCAAATCACTGGGTCACCTGAAGGGTAGAACAAATAAAATTAAATCTTAAACCATAATTAAATAGATTGAATTTTAGTATATCATAGAAACAACCTTTTGTTATGAACAGATCAAGAAACATTAAGGTTTTTTCTTAAATAAAATTAAATAAGGAGTTAAGTAATTAAAAAAGAAGATATTTAAATAATTTATTTTTTAAGTTAAGGATTTCGATTTTTAATCTATAGATAGAATGTCTAATTAAGCATGTGCATTTGTCAATATATTAAACTAAGATTTAAATTAAGGAAATGATATTATATAAACTACTTAATAAATTACTTAGATCAATAGCATTAATAGTGCTTCTCGTTAGATTAGATAGTCAATAATTTACTATCAATAACATTTCAAAAGTCGCATTAACTCTTTATTGTATTTTGCATGGATAATAAATCATATCATATTATACTCTCTTTTTTTTCTTCAGTATATCATATTATATTAAAAGTGAGAATTTTAGGCAAAAGTTAGATTTCGATTTTATTCTTATATTAAATTTAAATGTTATAAATTATTTAATAAATTAAATACTAAATAATAAATCATTATATTAGTACATGAATCAACCATCATAAAATATCTTGAATATATATTCTTTGTATTAATTTCATGTTGGAGTAAATTCATGAAATTTTTGTTTTGTTCATATTCTAATCGGAAAAATGAATGGTTATGTTTGTCCTTCACAAAAAGAAAAAAAATCATGCAAACCTATATATTATATTCTTTTTTTATGTATAAATATTTGTATTAATGTGAAGTATATCAATATAAATTCTATTACCACTAACTCTCAATTATATGAATATATGTAACTCCCACTAATTATATTCATTGTGATTTTTAATTGCATCTCTCATCCTCGTCTATGATCTCAAATGGATTAATGTCATATTCATGACAACTTTTTGTGTTCCTCAATCATATCCCATAAATAATGACATTTGACATAATATTATACACACTTAAAACAGTTGAAAAAGAGAGAGGAGAAAATCTCTATGCTCTCTTCTCTTGTCCCTTTTTATTTGTTTTGTTTAGTGTTTATGTTTCTTATTTGTTGTTATTGTACAACTTTCTATTCTTTAGTTATTATTATTGAGAATTTACGGTGGTTTGTTGCTTTATATCCATTAGCCTAGCATGTAGTATTTTAGTATCCTCATTTGAATATTGTATTTGCACAATAGCTGGTTATTTTTACTTTATGCACTTTTAGTCAATTTTATAATTAAGAATCTATTCTTTTTATTAGGAAGATATTTGAATTTTCTATCGTAAAAATGATGATTTTTCTTTAGTAAATACCAATAGTTTGAAGAGGATAAAATATGTCATTTGCAATACAAAATTTACATGAAATATTTTGGGATAACATGAAACTCATGTTCCCAGAGCTAGTGTATATATAATTGTAACTTAATAATAAAAAAAATAGCAAATTTAGAAAGTTACACCCATTGAAAAGGAAATGTAAAACAATTTAAGATTTTTTGGTAGTAATTCAACTAGATTTTAATAGAATATCGTTTATATATCACTAAAATAACGACAATAACATGAAAAGATGAACAATGAGCAACCAACATGTAACTATGAAATGTAATTAAAAGACAAGAAAGACAAAATAAGTGATGAGAAAAATAAAAAGACAATCAACATTCTAAGGATGTCCAACATTTTCTTCTCCAACATTGTTATTAGCAACAACCTCATTAACTTGTATCTTCCTTTGTTCAAGTTGAACCCTCTTAACAACAATTAACTTTAACAAACCCTTTATTTCCCCAACATTTACTTCATTGAAGAGTTTGTTTCCCTTGAAAAGTTCATTGAAGAGGTTCTCCATGTAACACCCCGTATTCTACGTGTAGTAATTCTCTTTATATGACGCTTATAAATTTCTTTGTGGTATAGTTATGGATTCGGTTTTCTATTGTAACAGCCCGTATTACGCATGTGTTGTATATGAAGCTTCTCATTAGTAAATATATCTGCATAGTAGTAGTTTACTTTCTCATCATAGGTGACTTGCAAAGCATATGTTCATATATATGGTACTTGTCCGCCTCACCGAGGGTTGGGGTGTGACACCCCATTTACTACATAACAACTATATAATCATTTACTATCTTCTGAACCTCTGTTAAAGACGGCCAAGCAAAAACATCGGTTTTTTCCGGAATAGAAGAAACTATTCCGACTTTTACATCACATAGAATAGAAAGTTCTTGTGCTTTCTTACACAATGATGCTAATTTTTCATCTAGAATTTTTTTTCTCTTAATTCCCTCATCAAGATCGCTAGTGGTTAAACACACCCTCTTTCTAGACATATTTTAGTACACAAAATATAAAAGAGCAGAATATATATATGAGTGAGTTTCTATCCCTGAATAAAAAATAAGAGTGTTTGACTTATATTTATAGATGTCTGATAAGACCACATAATTATAAGTTGTTGAGTTAATATGACTAAAATATAAAAACACAGTAATTGCACAATCTGATTATTAAAATATTCATTAATAACTTACCTAAATAGTTGTACTTAAAATCTTTAAAAAAAGAATCTTCAAATTAAGTTTATGGAAAGTTAATAACAATTAGTTATTGCGTTGTGATTTTAGATATCTAAGTTGTTACATAAAGTCAAATAAATATAGATTTTAATGTGTTATGATTCAAAAATATATATTGGTACTTAACAAAAGGTACTAGAAAGTAGTTAAATTACTTATTAATGTATGGTGTATGTGTTGGTTAGTTCGTATATCTTAGATACTTTATATACACCAATTTGCTTGGTGTATGTGTGCATGATATATATTTGGTGTAGTTAAATTACAAGCTAATATGCTATATGTATATATATATATATATCTTTTATAATGATTAAATTGAGCTGTGTATAAGAATTTAATATATTACCTGTATTAATAATCTAGAAAAATTGAATTTTGATTAACAAGAATTTGTAATGTAACGCTGGAAAGTTTATGAATTTCAAGATTGAAAAAGTGATATATGATGCGAACACAAAATACGAAGGCTTAATTAATATTATTGCTTCTCAATTAGGTGTGAACAGAACTAGATGGTGTTACCACCATATGCAAGAAGACTATCAAATAACGATCGTAAGAAGGGATTTAATAAAGTGAAATTCAAGAGGTCTAAAATCACATGTAATAAATGTGGTACACAAGTACATAACAAGAAGACTTGCTTCAAATTTCCATCCAATTAATTCTTGGGTTATTATTTTTTGTTTTAAGTTAAAAAAAATTCAGTTGAAATTTTTATGATATTGTCGACTTTTCAGTATACTTGGTAAATGTTGATAAATGGTTCAATAACATATTGTAATTTAATAATATTACATTAACAATTGATTGCATTAACAATTGAGTGCATTTTAATATATACGAACTTTTGTTTTAGTGTTGAGATGCTAACTTAACTAATATCTTAAAACTGACTTTCTTTATTGATATAATGCAATTTTTATGGTGAAAAGATGTTATAAGAATAGATTCATATATAGTGATATATTTTAAAGTCATAAAATAATTTGTAATATTGGTATAATGATTAGTAGATAGTTGGTGTAATATTTGTATATTACCTGGTTTTTTATTTTTGATAAAAATATGTTTCGATTTCTTGATATATTTGATGATATAAAATTATCTAATATTATTAAAGTATATTATATTTAAATGGTAACTATATGTAATTATACACCAAATTTATAAATGATTCTGTAAAATCTAAATAGACAAAAATGATTATGTATTACGTATATATTCCATGTAGTCAAAAATTTGTACAGAAGATAAAGAATGATCCTTACAGAGAACTGAGAAGTATCCAAGATTTTGAAGTTTATTGATTTTAAAACATAACCCTTTTTTCTTATCGAGGTTCTTGATAGATTATTTATACATATCAAGTGAATTTCACCGCCCTTGAGGCTCTAAGCACGCCTGTATTCATCCCCGCAATCGCCAATAACTTTTTGAAGATCTCTGCCCTTGTTTGTGACTTGTAGGATGTTGCTAATGTCTTCTACATCAAGAACAAGAGAAAACACAGCATTGGCATCTTTAATGTGTTGCGACAGACCGAGCCTAACACCTATCATTGATCCTGCCACGGCTGGCTGCAGTTGTGCAACAGATTTTGTCAAAATGAAACAGATTCACATGAATCTTTTTCGAGTTTAAGCTATATACATTGTTAGTGTAAAAGCATCTTTTACGCTAGCAGGCCATCCTAGTTTGTCTTATTCTCGAGATAAAAGATTCCACATTTTAGAGTAAAAGATACTCTGCATTGACGGTATATATAACTTAAACTAATTGTTTTTCTTTCGGTACTCAAGAAAATGATGAAAACTGGAAAATACCTGATCCAGTATAAATCTCACAGCAACTGTTGGAATGGAGACTCCATGTTTGTTGGCAACAGTTTTCAGTGTCCTGAGCAACTCTTGAAAGAGGCTCCACCCTCCCCAAGCGTCAACCATCTGCTTTTTGAAACACAGTAAATTTGTTGATCCAAATACCTCATATAATACGGAAACTATATCTTGCTGTAAAAAAAGAGAACATTTCTAACGCCAATGAAACACAAGGGCACATGATACAGTTTGTTAAGCTCCGGTTCCCCAAATATAGGTGGATCTAGGATTTGAAGGTTATGAGTTATGAAGTTTCTATGTTGGCATAACACATTAAAACATTACTGCAAAAAGTAGTTTTTCCAGGGAAATTACCCTTTTGTACTTCTGTAGTGAAGGAGTGTTCAATGCAGGGCCAGCAAAAGGTATCGTTAAGTTGGTATCGAGGAACTTTTCAGATAATAACCCTCCCATTACTGTTCCATACCTGCATTCAAACAAAATTTAGTAATACATCAGAGTCATGTTACTAGACAATCACATTAACAGATTAAATAAATCATGTATCGTTCTAACAAGTTGAGAGAGAGAGAGAGAGACGTTATAAGTTTGACTCCTGTAAGCTGACAAAGCTCTGCCATTTTCTGTTGAGGACGCATGTCAACAATTGAATGTTGTACCTGCAGAAACAAATCCTTTTACGTCAGAGCTGAAAATACGGAGCAAAGGGCAGAACAATGAGAACTGCCTAGTACTCGATACCTGATTGCTAACAACTGGAATCCCATTTTCCAGAATTATCCTTAATCTCTCGGTGTCAAAATTAGTCAAAGCAATGGTCTTAATCTTGCCTGCATGTAAGCAGTGTCACTATGTAGCCTAATCGACAACTCTGAGATGAAAGCTCCAAGACAGAAATATACAACTAACCTTCTCCTTTGAGATCCGTGAGGTGCTTTAGTGCATCTAAGTATCCAGGATTAGAGTAGTCCCACCTGGTTATCAAGCAGAACAACACAGTAAGAGAAACTAACAGTTTTGATTCCTTATTATTTCAGTTGATGACCGTAAAGACTATGATGCAGCCTTGATTAGTGAATAAAGAAAAAGAATTCTTCTCGGGTCCCAAGGGCCAATTTTTTTCTGATATGACTTGTGAGACAGTTCAACTTGAAGTTCATAAAGGTAAAGATCGCGATATACTTCATGTTTAAGAAGTGGAACTTAACATGGTGAAGCAATTTTGTCCACATAAAGGATAACATTTCAGAAGGAAACACTCATTTCTCAAGATATTGCTCTGATGCTTCATCTCAGAAGATTGAAAACCTCAATGAAACGAAATTTCACACAACATAATTCTGTATTGTACTCCGGTGAGAGTAGAACAAGATAAGTTTCCCTTGACCTATTGTCTAGTGCAACTTACAGTAAGCTCTCTTTGAGCTAAACCAAATTAAACCCCGGGATAATAAGAAGAGCTGTAACTCCTTGGTGTTATTTCATATCTAAACATCAGATTAACCGTCTATTATTAATTTATCACTGCCATTTCCCAACACGTGAACAATGACATTACTAACAAAGACTACAGACGGTTATTACCAATGAAATTGAAGCATGTCCAAGGCTGCAACATCCATCCTTCTTCTTGAAACATCAATGCTCTCACTGACAAAACTGCGGGTCATCTTGACCGGTGGTGGCACCCATTTGGTAAGACTGTGGAGGAAAATCAGAAGAATATGTTTACGGGTTGAATTCTTCCCTCAAGCTTTACACAGAGCATTCTATGTTAATAAAGAAACATGCCTTTTGTTACTCACCCTCTCACAGTTTCTAGAAGTTCTGGTGGGCGCTCTCTGCGTACTCTGTTAATGAAGATGCCATAAAGATCTTCAGCAGGTCCATCTGCAAGGCCAACCATGATAAGAAAACTTTTACTTACAAGCATCGAGTCTTTGTGATCCAACTCAAAATGTTCCGTTAGCATGTATCAACAAAACTAGATCAATTAATACAATACAAGTCAAGCGCCACAGAGAAAACATCCCACCAGCATGAAATTACAACATAAGCAATGTGAGCATAGGAGCAACAATAAATAAGAAGATTAATGTTTACATATATCAGCCAAGTCAAAAGTGTTAAGTCCAGCATCAGCATATTGAAGCATAGCATCAACTGCATTGTCTCGTTCGATTCTTCCCCATCCACCACTAGTCTGCCACATCCCATTGACAACTCTACATATATCCAATGAATCTTTCCCATTCTTAACTATAGCCCGTTGCTTATCTTCAGTTAACAAGCACTGAAATGGCCTTGGCGTTAATGTTCTTGCTTCATTTGCTCTAAAAGACTTAATCTTGATAGAGTTCAACGAGAACTGATGAAAACTGTTGTTCAAGAGCTCTACCATTCTTGATCAATAAAATAGTTTGAAGGGTAGTTGGAGAACTATCCCACTTTACTTAAGAGTGATAGAAATAAGGCTTCTCTCATCTGTTTTAGTATTTTAGCTCCTTATCCATCAACTGTCCATAAATATTTGGACAACTTTTTCAAATTCCCTCTTCTTTTTAAAAATTAACTTAAATAGCCGTCCACCCAAAAGTAGCCGCTAAACATATAATATATGTATATCCACTAGACCAAATGTGTAACTTTCCCTTAAAAAAAAGGTCTTTTATTCTATTTCTTTTGAATTTTCCCTTTTTGATACATTAAAATAACTTTTTCTCTTTTTGAAAAACAAAATAAAAAAGAATAAGATTAATGCAATTGACTAACATATCCTTATCAAAATGAGAGGACCATATATACAAACAAAACAACATCTAATGTTAAGAAAATCCAAAAACTAACACATATGTAGACGTGTCCAAACATAACACACTAGAACATCCAACACAAACTACTTGTCACACCCCAATCACCACTCGTATAAAGTGGCGAAATTCAAAATATATTAAGTAGACAAAAAAAAAAAAAACTCAAAAGAATTCAACAAGCAGTATACATAGATATTGCCTCTATTTCAATGAATTTTAACTTGATATGAGTTTCAGAAAGCAAAAGAAAGAATTTTGAACCATATAATCTTAAAGTAAGAAAATGTAAATTATACCATAATATCTTGTAAGTTCATGATCATAATCATATTACATGAAAAATTAAAATAAATAATAGTTAAAAAACATTCTTTTTATAAAAATTAAAATGTAAAAAAATAATTTTAACAAAATAAACAGTGTAATTTTCCATGCTAGAAAGAAGGAGAGGTGAAAATGGAATTCATACAGTGGTCAGCCATGTCGAAAGTAGAAAGCCCATCGTCTGCATAGTTAAGCATAGCTTCAACGGCGTCGTTTCGATCGATTCTTCCCCATCCACCACTAGTTTGCCACATCCCGTTCAATACTCTGCATATTTCCAGCTTATCGTCGCCGTTTTTCAGCAATTCCCGTCGGTTTTCTTTCGCCGCCGTCGCTACATCCGTCGCCGGCGAACAACACCTAGCCGGCACCGCCCATTTTCTCCTACTCCTTAAACTTCTACAACTGCTAGCGTAGCTTAAAGGAGTGAATTTTTGGAGACTGCAGAATGCTTGTTGTGTAGAAATGGCAGTCGACCCCATTTTTGCTCTCCGATTCGAGTTTCTACTAGCTTTGAATTGAACCTTTCGTTTATCAGGTGAAGGTTCTGGATGTGTACTTGTGTAATGACGATTATGACCCTACAATATGTTAAAAGTCGAGTTAAAAACGTCAAAAACACATTTAAACTATATTGCTTTATTCATACTTGAAGTATTGAGAGTGTAAATTTATTACCTGAGTTATAAAGCAATAGTTAGTGAAACACATCTCGATTAATTTGTGATGATTTGTGTATACTCATTTTTTTGCTTAAAAATTTTGCTACGTGAAAAAATAATTTCATTTCACAAATCGAAGTAAATTAATATTAAATTAAAAGTTAAGGTTAAAAGTTAAAATTATTACTGTATAAATTATTTTATTCTATTCATGACATTCATGATCTTCTTCTTCATTTTCCTTACTCGTACTCTCGTCTCTATCATGACATCAATAATGCCGATGGAGAGTATAGAATCTTAAAAAATCAATTAAAGATATATTTTAAAAAATTAGTATGTCAGTAAATAGAGCTATGTCAGGTGGATGAAGATTTTATGGACAAACGCGTCTAGAAACATTTTTAGATAAATATTTGGTCTAGTGAATGTCTAGGTGTGTTTCGTTAACCATTGAGTGATGATGATAGTTTAGGTAGGAAACTCAATAAATTGAAATAATTTAGGTGTGTTTTTCATCCTTATCTCTAAAAAGTATGATACATAAACGTGCTTTAATTTGATCTTATTTGACATTTATGCTCTTCAAATTTGAGTGTGCTTACTTACACATACACTTGAATTTGTATAAAATTGAGAAAACAGATTAAGTGTCTTACATGACAATTCACGTGGAAATTGGAAATACACTCAAACTCATTTGTATTGTGTAATGTATGATGTGTGTATCTACTTGTTTAACTTCATACAAATTTAAGGAAAAAATCTTTTGGCCAGAAAGGTAAAATAACATATTTTACACTATGTTATTTTACCTTTTTGAACATTTTTACCCTTTTAACTTTAATATCTTTTAATTAAAAAATGAAAAAAAGATCAATTTATTTAAAATAAAAAGGATATTATAGACTTTTTAATTTTCTGGCCATTTAGCATTACTCCAAATTTAAATATATAGTTATGTACATTTAAAATTGAAGGACATCGATACCAACTGAGGCCAAATAAAAGAACACATTTTGACTGAGGCCAAATGAAATGAAATATTTATGTTTTATTCCTTTATTTGATATATACTTGAACAACATAACTAGTTTATATCCTACATTTAATACTTTTCATAGTTTGTTAAAGGTTTAAATTATTTATCTATTAAATCTTACATAAATAATCATGTCTGATAATATGCTCTTATTATGAATACAATTCAATATATTTAATAAAGTGTTTGACTTGTAATTTAGAAATTTATGTAATTAATACATATATTAATCATAAGATAATCCATAAATTGTTTTATACATGATAAAAAATATCATCATAACTAATTATTTGTACTTAAATACACTCACTGAAATCTCTATGACCCTCAACAATGAATGAAAGTTTCTTATGATTAAATAATCCTTCTTGCCATGTGTCTTCTTTTGATTAGTATATATGTCATATCTGATTTTCTCCATATTACAAAATGAACAACAAGAAACTTTTAAGAAATTGTGCATCTTTTTTCACTAAATTTTAATAAGATATTTTAAAATTTTCTTTTTTAACCATTATATTATAGCCCTTGAAGTTTAATTTCGACGTATACAGTATAATTTATGTTGCTTTAAAATATTATGTTGAATTGTCCTCACTCATAGAAGTATTTTAACCTCTTCACTTGATTTATAGAGTCGATTTTATCAAAATGTTATTTTTTTTCAATATAACTTGTCAACAATTATGTCGTTAGTGTGAATTGCAATTTCTTATGACGTGTTAGTTAATTACGTATTATCAATAGTCAAGAGTCAAGACCACGTCAATTTGTAGCGAAGAAATTATACTAATAACGATATCAAAGATTAGCATTGTTTCAAGACCGCATGAGTCTATATTGTTGACCTCTCCTTTCTCGTTAGCTATTAAAACTACAGTCTGTATTGTTGACATCTCCTTTCTCGTTAACTATTAAAACTACGTTAAAACTACGTTATATATATATACACCCACAATAGTGATAATAGCTAACAATTGAAATTTAATTTCAATCCATAGTGTATATTCTAATTAATTTATGGTATTACATTGAGTTATTTTCTATAACTACTTTACTTAGATTTGAAATATATTTATACTTTTTCCTAAATTAAACAAGTTATTTTTTATTCATATTATTGTTTTTTTTAATATATATTTTTGGTGTGATCTGGAACTATTTAAGAAGTTGCCAAGAAAAAATAATTCTCAATCTTTTAAATTAATATTTTTTGTCCTTGCCCTTTTCTTACTGTCATAATATAATTAATAAGAAATTAAATAAAGATGCAACTTCATTGACCATTTTTCTCATTGAATTTCATAATCCTATAAATATAAACATTTTTGTTCTTTATTTTTCCACATACCTCAAAACTCATAAAAGGTGCTTTCCTCTCTTTTTCTTTCATTTCTCATATATACTTTAGCATAATTTTTCTCTTTTAATTCTTCATTTTTTCTACAAATTATTTTGTGAGTCCTAGTTAACGAGTCTATGGACCTACATTCGTTTTATTTTCTTTAGATTATATAATTCAAATTTTGTATCACAACATATACAATACTGGAAAAGGAAAAAAAACATTAACATTTAATTTCATAAATGGTATAGATTTAAAATTTGAGATATCATAAAGTTGAAAATTTGAGTTGTTAAGACTCTCAAAAGTTAATCACTTTCAAAGGTAACCTAAAGAAATTAGGATTATTTTCTTTATTTTTGTTTCATACATTTGTATTTGTTTATTTATTTTTAGATTTTAAATAAAATTATTTTATCCATATAAACTGTGTTAAAAATTCTAGATTAATTTTTCTTGAATATATTCTATTGTAGCAAGTCTTTAAATATACATCTTTTTGAAATCAATAATGATGTGGCAATTCAATTACCTAAATCAGAGGTGAGTTGCTGTGAACAAAAAAGGAAAATTTTTAATTATTTTTCTTTAACCTAAAAGATTTTCTAATTTTATCATTTCCCATCGTTCCTCTTTTTATTTTTATTATTTTTATTTAAACAATTAAACAATTTTTTTTTGGGTTCAAATTAGACAAATATTTTGTATGAATAAGCAAGAGTTGGATGGCAACTACATTTTTAGACTACTATAAATTAAAATAATAGAATGTCTCAGTTAGAATTAATGATTTTTTATTAGAAAAGTTATATGTATCAAAATATTAATTACATAAAAATGAATTCTTCTAATTGCAACAATCCAATATAGATTTTCACGACACAAATCTTTAGTGGCATTAACAACATGTAGTAACATAAATACATACTAAAAGTACTGAACTTTCATATTAATATCTTCTGTAAAATATAAGCTATAAAAAAACTTGTCTGTGTGTGTGATTTTCATTTTGTTTGATTAATATTTTCTAATATTCTAGACTTTAATATATCTTTAAGATATGTTAATTATAGATTTTACTACATGCTACAAACTTGTATGTTTTCACGATCACAATAATTAAATTGCATGACGTTAATATAATCTTTTTGTCTATTTTGTAATTCTCAATTTATTTTACAGGATATGATTAAAAAAATGTCATCAAACGAAAAGACTCTCTCTCATAGTGCAACTAAGTCATCCACTGATCCTCTCAAAGCTCTTATGGTAATTTATTCCTCTTTTTTTCTTTCAACAATTGATGCATATAAATTGTTACATTTTCAAATATTTTGTAAATCAAAATAAATATAATTACAAGCTAATTTTTGTACATTTATTCAATTAGGCTCAAAGAAATTGGTTCTCACGCAACAACATGTTACAAGAAAATGACATGGATAATATGTCACACGGAACCATATGTGTACTAAGGTCGATTCAATACGATACTTGATTTCTTTCATTAGCAATAAAATATGTCTTTTTCCTAACATTTATCTTTCCTATCCTTGATGGACAGCTCGCAACCGTCTCCTCCCAATGAGGAGAGGGGTGAAAAAGAAATTGTTCAACCACAACATCGAATAGGAAAAGCCCCTATAGACAAACCTATGGAGGAAGTGTCTAGAAGAACACTTCAGTCCAAGGGCAAAAACCGCGGTAAGTGTCTACAAGAACACTTGTCTATTGTTTTGTTTTATACTCCCTCTGTCCCAATTTATGTGACTTACTTTTCTTTTTAGTCAGTCTCAAAAAGAATGACGCATTTCTATATTAAGTAACTTTTCAACTATAAAATGTCTATTTTACCCTTAATGAAATGATTTACAGCCACACAAATTTCTATCATTCATTTTGGACCACAAATTTTAAAAGTCTTCCCTTCTTTCTTAAACTCTGTGCCGAGTCAAACTACCTCACATAAAATGAGACGGAGGGAGTATTTCCGATGTCTTTTATTTTATTTTTGGAGATTCTTGTAGGTCCCATTGTCAAGTTGCCTCCTTCATGTGGAGCCGCTGTTACTAACATTCAAAGTATGATGATGAGGGTTGTAGAAAATCGAAAATGTAGGGTTTCCCATTCTGCAACAAAAAAGAGAAGGGTTCCAGAAATGATCAATTCATGTTTTCTCCAACATCTTGATAAGAGGGGTACAATCCCTGAGGTGGAGGCAGCCTTAGTAGAGTCAACTACATTCCTCAAGCCTTCAGACCCTGCACCATGTAGTCAACTCCAGTCAAAGAATGCAGGGCTCCAGGCTGAGGCAAATGAGCTGAGGTCAAAGAATGAAAGGCTCGAGACTGACAATGAGATTCTAAAGGTTACAACATCCTCTTTGAACCAAAAGCTTCAAGAGATTCAACGGGAGAAAGAGGAGAAGGAAGTTGAATTGTACGTTCTAACCAAAGCCAACAAGAATCTACTCGGGGAAGTCTCCTTAAGGAAGGACAG